AAGTCCTGGTATGGGTGAGATGAAATTTGCAGTCTAAAGCAACATAATTCAGTTTAAATTCCTAATAGGAAAAAAAAATTTTTCATCAAAAGCACCAGCCTTGCTAGTCATTCCACTAGGCTAACATGTAGATACATTAACAGAAATAAGAAAAGAGGGTATCTGTCATGATTGGGCTAAAAGATAGATTCTACTATGCCTCAGGTTCTCTCTGTATTTTATTAAAGAAAGACAGGAATGGACTAGATTTTTAAGTAGCAAAAAGCTAAGACCCTAACAAAAATAGTTAGGAGGCCAGACGCAGTGGCTCATGCCTGTAATCCCAGCACTTTGGGAGGCCGAGGCAGGCGGATCACCTGAGGTCAGGAGTTTGAGACCAGCCTGGCCAACATGATAAAACCCCATCTCTACTAAAAATACAAAAATTAGCCAGGCATGATGGCACACATCTCTAATCCCAGCTACTCAGGAGGCTGAGGCAGGAGAATCACTTGAACCCGGGAGGTGGAGGTTGCAGTGAGCCAAGATGGCACCACTGTGCTCCAGCCTTGCCAATGGAGTGAGACTCCATCTCAAAAAAAAGAAAAAGAAAATAGTCTAAAGATGCTTTCCCTGGCATCCAGTGAACAGTGTATATTATAGGGCCCAGCCTTTAAATATTAATCACCATCTCGGGGAGGATAATCAACTTCGAGATTTAGCTAACTTTTATGAAACACTTAGCATAACTGAACATTGAGTACAGTTTTTCATATAAGAGTTATTGCCCATTTGTGTAAAACTCATTGTGAAGCGTCACGATGTCTGAAATGCTGAGACCTGCCTGTGTAGTATGATCTCCATTTTCCAGATGAAGAAATTGAAGTTCAGTTGCGTTCACTCCACTGTCCAAAGTGACTCTTCTAAGTTAGGACAAGAATAAAAATGCATTCCTGGCCGGGCGCTGTGGCTCATGCTTGTAATCCCGGCATCTGGGGAGGCTGAGGCGGGTGGATCACTTGGGGTCAGGAGTTTGAGACTAGCCTGGCCAACGTGGCAAAACCCCATTTCTACTAAAAATACAAAAAACTTAGCTGGGTGTGGTGGCGTGCACCTCTAGTCCCAGCTACTCTGGAGGCTGAGGCAGGAGAATCGCTTGAACCCAGGAGGCAGAGGTTGCAGTGAGCCGAGATGGCGCCATTGTATTGCAGCCTGGCCAACAGATGAGTCTCCATCTCAAAAAAAAGAAAAAAAAGAAAAAACCAGTCCTCTCTATCACATCAAGTATGATTTATTCTACACCATAATTACTTACTCTAAGACAGGAGAAGCCCCATGCTGTCAACACAACATACTCTTAAAATCAGGTGCTGACCGAAGATGACCTCCTAAACATTTGCAGGATGCAGCAGTGTATGTTGTAAGAAGCTGGGGAAACAGTGGGTAAAGTGAGATATTCAGATAATCCAACAGAGGGCAGGTGTGTCTGTTTACCTGTTTTTCTTAAATTATTAATTCATGGAAATGTAACATTTGTTCAACCAGGCACCATTTGTCACGGCTGGAATACAACCTGGAGCTGATCAGCCTTGCAAATAGCTCTGAAATCCGTCAGTGGGCTTTGTGCCCTCCCACAGAAGCAGACACAATGAATGTGTCTGCATTGCCAGACTCCTCTTTCCAGCCTTCGTCCTTGCCCCACCTCCTCTGCATCTGCAGCCCTTTGCCCATGGGTCTCAGACTCTCCCTGAGATTCCTTTCACTCACTGTCTTCAAACTCTGAGATGGAGGGAGGGGCTCTTGGCTAAGGACAGTGCTTCCAGTTAAATCCCGGGCTCCACAGGCAACAAGCAGTAGCCTTTGGAAATTTCAGATCCAGGCCTTGGCATGCCTGAGAAAGCACTTCTGACAATGAGGTTAGCCTTGTTAGTATCAAGATCAAACAACTCAAATATCTGCCTTTGTTAGAAAAACATTGTTTTGTGTTTATACAGAACATGTGTCCACTTGAAGCATTTTCACCAGATATAACTGAGTTTACCTGCCCCTTATTCTGAAACTCAAGTCCTGTGATGACTCTCGACAGTGAGAAAGTCAGCACACAGAACAGTTAAGGGGCTTCCCCAAAACAGCCCAGCTAATCACAGAGCTGCAGAGCCCACATTCCACAGGGTTAGCCCCTTGCCCCAGCTCCATGAGTTTGTATCAAACAAACTCTGAAAAAAATACCACGTCTCTGAAAAAAACACCATGGGAAAAGCAAAAGAGCAGCCCATATTTAATTTCACCCTAGATGGCTGCCAAATCTCTGGTAACTTATCGTGTGTTCTCTTAAGCTATAGGCCAGGGCTTCCCAACACTTTTCCACTGCAAAACCAAGTAACTAGCCGTGGGAACTTTTGTTGTGATTTTCCGGTAGGCAGCCCAGACAGACTCAGGGCATTTATTGAAAACCATTCAGAGGTGAGCAGGTTTTCATCCCCATCAACTCTCAGGATGCATTCCTTCCCCATTTGAGTTGTCCTGTGGAGCTTCTTACCCCATTCTTACCCTGAATGGGGTAAGAAGCTCCGCGACAAGTTATGAATCAGAAACTGGGAATGTGTCACCAGGGGACCCCATGGCCTAGACAGGTGGCTTTTCTCTCTTTCTCTTTTTTCCCTCGTTCTATTCCACTGCTTTCTGAAGCAACTGCAAAGTTCTTGTCGAGCCATGCCAGTGTCAGCAATATCAGTTCTGAGCAATCTTCCCAAGAGCTTCAGCAACAGAGGTCAAAGGATGGCCACAGTGCCCCTAGGTGAGGTCCATTAGCAGCATGTTCAGAAACAGTGACAGGCTCCTTTCTAACATCACGAGGCCCTCGTTAGGCACTGTGGAAAGTCAAACAATGAGGCACAGCTGAAACTTCAGCGGTCCCACGTGCAAAATATGGGTGAAAGCATGAAGGAGAGTCAAAAAACACAAAAATATACAGCATGGCTTTCCTAGTTTCCAAGGGCCCGGTTAGAACGGTGACCTGGTCAGGCCTGGAGACTAACTGGAGATGGCAGAGAATATACAGTTCTTAAAATGTTTTCGTTTAACACAATCTCACCTTGTACCTGAACCGTTAATACTTTCCAATCCCAACTTTTTGCCAACCTCCCAACTAAAACTTCACACCCTCGATGGAAGGCTACAAAATGGTTTGCAACCCATTGCAACAAGGGGAACATCATGCCTTTTTCCAGAGTCTTCATTTATCCCTGAATGTCATACAAATAAACGTTTCAGTACATGGTTCTCTATAGCAAAGGATACTTTGCACTGTGTCACTGCAAAATACTATAAATGTTTCAGAGGGATTGTGTTTAATAAAGATGGAGCTGCCTGCAAGGTACTTTTCATGATTCTCCAAGGCAGTGTGAGCCACACATGTTCCTGAGTGTGGACCAGAGGATTCTTTGCTAGGAACGTAGTGCATCTTCCTAGAATGCCACTCTGTGCCCTCTGTGTCACAGTGTAAGGGACATTGGGGTGGGGGATACAAAGTATGAGTCCTTTCATCTCTGTGACTTTCTGAATTGTTTTCTTTTCTGCTTCAGCCTGTTCTGCAAACTTGCTGCCCTTGTTAGACACAGAATTTCCCTCTTTGGTAAGTGAAGTGTTGCTAAAGGCACCGCTCCTCCCTGTAATCATCCTGAACTTGTACTTTGCCTTTATTTGTGTCTTCCTCAGACCACCCAGGCCTTGGGACTAAGGTGTCACCGAAATGTGCCATAGAAAATTGGTCTGAAGCATGATAAATGACCTCTTTACCCTTTTAACTGCTCAGATTTTCCACACCAGTGAAAGTTTTCATCTCTGCCTCTGACATCCATCATAAAGCAAAGGCTGTGTCAGGCTAGAAATTAATGCATTGCCTCTGAGCACAGGCCTAGCACTTTATGTGTTGGGAGTTAATGATGCTGGGCTGTGGTTTGTGCATGTGGAGAAGACTGCATTTGAAAGACAGGCTGAGTGGTTTGGGGGAATCACAGACGATACTTTTTATTCTAGGTAGTGATTCTACTACAATGGTGAGCTGTCTTCACATCTTAGCTCAGACACTTGACACAAGGTAAGTCTGCCCAGTTTTTCCCAATAGTTTCTCATGACTTCCTCTCTGACCCTGTCATCTCACTAATTTTACTGAAGAGAAGACAGATCACTGCTGCCAGGGTTTGGGAAGAGAGAGGAGACAAGGCAAAGACCCTAGAAGTTAGCACTCTCTTTTTCACAGTTCACATAACGAGAGTCACTGCCATGGCAGAGACGGAATGCTAAGGCCTGATCAGTTCTTATCTTTCCTTCCTAAGAAGTTCATCTTTCAGAAGATAAAATATATAATGTGGCATAGCCCACTGGTGGGTGGTGAATCTACAAATGTTATGGGAAAGATGAACAACAGCCCTCTGAATTCAAAATGGCCAAGGAAGGAAATGCACAGAGATCTGACTTCCAAAGAATCAGAGACAAAGACGATCCCATGGCCTAGGAATTTGGGAAGAAGTGTTAAAAAAAAAAAATACATAAGTTCTGGTAATAACACAAATGATGAGACTGAAAAAGAGAGATGCAGGCCGGGCGTGGTGGCTCACGCCTGTAATCCCAGCACTTTGGGAGGCTGAGGCAGGCAGATCACTTGAGCTCAACAGTTGAAGACCAGCCTGAGCAACATGGTGAAACATCTTATCTACAGAAAATACGAAAATTAGCTAGGCATGGTGGTGCATGCCTGTAGTCCCAGCTACTTGGGTGGCTGAGGTGGGAGGATGGCTTGAGTCCAGGAGGTGTAGGTTGCAGTGAGCTGAGATAGCGCCACTACACTCCAGCCTAGATGACAGAGCCAGACCCTGTCTGGGGGGGGGAAAAAAAAAAAAAAAAAAAGCAACAGTGGAAAGAACTGACAAGGAGCTTTCTTTAACGTGTCTGTTAAGAAGGGTCCTTGTCAGAGTCGGACACCATAGTTTCTGCCTGTAATCGAAGCTACTCAGGAGGCTAAAGTGGAAGGATTGCTTGAACCTAGGAGTTCAAGACCAGCCTGAAGAATGTAGCGAGACCTAAGGAAGGAAGGAAGGGAGGAAGGGAGGAAGGGAGGGAGGAAGAGAGGGAGGGAGGGAGGGAGGGAGGGGAAAAGAAAGAAACGTTTTTATCAAAGTTGGGAGGAGGACACACCTCCTAAGACCCAATGCAAAAGAGGTTACCAGCCTAAAGGAGTGGGACACTAAAAGAGTGTCCCAAAGATGAAAATCCTTGATGAACTGAGAATGGCTATGAAAAAGGAGGGGAGTAAGGACTATTAAAGGGATGAGAAATCTTTAAGAAACTTGGGAAAAGTCTTGAGAGAGTCCAGTTTTTGTTTGTTTGTTTGTTTGTTTTGTTTTAAATGACGATCAGTTGCAGGTTGGTGTGTTGAGTAATTATTCCTAACAAAACTTGGGACTAGAAAGTTAGGAAGGGCCAGATGCAGTGGCACATGCCTGTAATCCCAGCACTTTGAGAGGCAGAGGTGGGGGGATCGCTTTAGGCCAGGAGTTAAAGACCAGTCTGGGCAACATAGACCCCCATCTCTACAAAAAATTTTAAAAATTAGCCAGACATGGTGGCACATGCCTGTGATCCCAGCTACTAGGGAGGCTGAGGTGAGAGGATCGCTGAGCATGGGAGTCTCCCATGAGAGGTCACTGCACTCCAGCCTGTGCAACAGAGTGAGACCCCATCTCAAAAAAAAAAGTTAGGAAGACAGCTCATGAATACTTATAGGACAAGAACAAGCCTCACTGACTTAATTTCTTTGTTTTTATTGTCTTGGATGAGTTGAATGATTATCAGGAGAATGATGTAGATAAAAAGCATCTGTCTTTGAACCAAGTCTTTTATAATCTTCTGAATAAGATACAGAAATATAAAACTTATAGATGACTTGTAAGCTTTGTTCCAATTCTAAGTTTTATGAAATACTGTAGTTTTGAGAGAAGATTTCAAATGTCCAGAGCTGATCTTCATCCCTGTAGATCACATTTCAATGTTTTGTTTTGTATTTTCCAGAAGTGTGATTAAGCTGTTTACTTTAAAAGGGCTAGGTGTCTCTTTTGTCTTTCCTCATCCAATCTAGGACATTTCCTGCAAACTAACAGAAGTCTAAACTTCTGTTGACTTACTTCTTTGCTCTTTTTCTCTAAGAGGTCTCGCATCAGAAGAGTTTATGTTTCTAGCTAGCCTTTATAAAAGTTATTTAGCCAGGCTGGGTGCAGTGGCTCACACCTGTAATCCCAGCACTTTGGGAGGCCAAGCCGGGCGGATCACCAGGTCAAGAGATGGAGACCTTCCTGGCCAACATGGTGAAACCCTGTCTCTACTAAAAACACAAAAATTAGCCGGGTGCGGTGGCAGACACCTGTAATGCCAGCTACTCGGGAGGCTGAGGCAGAACAATTACTGGAACCCGGGAGGTGGAGGTTGCAGTGAGCCGAGATCACACTACTGCACTCCAGCATGGTGACAGGGTAAAACTCGATGTCTCAAAAAAAAAAAAAAAAAAAAGTTCTTTATCCCACAACTTTTCTTAAAGCTCATTTCCCTGTTCTTTTAACTTTAGCCAGTTGCAACTTACTATAGATAATAGCAGGTGTCTTCATTCTAGATTGTTCTCTGCATTTCCTAAAGAGGTGAGCAGTATTTTCCGCAGATTGTCCAGTGGCTAGCCCCTCTGGGATTGTGTGATTCAGGTTTCTTCGTGGATGTTAACTGCTCTCTCCCTTTCTCCTGACACAGTGTCATTGAGTGACAGGAGTGGCAAATGTCTGCCCAGGTGACACTGCCAGCCAGTTTCAAGAAGAGGATTGGCCAAAAGTACAACTTATCCTTCTAGATTTGAACATTGTTTGCTTGCAGGACTGTCATGAAGTCAGGCTCAGAGCTGGTGAAGGCTGGGTTACGAGCATTCTTTGAAAATGCTGCAGAAGACTTGGAGAAGACTTCAGAAAACCTGAAACTTGGGAAGTTCACCCACTCCCGAACGCAGATTAAAGGCGTTTCTCAGAATATTAACTATACTACAGTGGCCCTGCTCCCCATCCTGACGTCCATCTTTGAGCACGTCGCTCAGCATCAGTTTGGAATGGATCTACTCTGTGAGTTCTACTGATATTTGTCATGGATTTATGTGTGCATGGCCCCAGATAGGAGGTGCAGGGCCCATTCACTTATGTTGACTTTGAGGGCAGAGCAGAGAGAGAATTATTCCATGACTTTTCCTTCTTAGATTAAAAAAAAAAATGGGGGAAAGTAGTAATATACTCTTGGAATGGAAAGAAATTCCCTAACTTGAATATATAATATTTATCTTTTTCCACTTTTGTTCTGGACCAGAATTTCCCATCGGCTAGTCTAGCTCTCAGCTATTGTACTCTCGCTTCATTTGAAAGGTTATCTGAGTAATACAGTGGGAGATAGATTTGCTCCTGGGTTTTTGAGGCATCATTTTTCTTATTAAGAAGCCTTAATTTATTCATTGGATACCAGGAGCAAAGGAAAAATGCTAACATTTCATTATCTGAGCTTTCAGAAGACTAAAGTTGGTTGGTTTTATTTTAGTTTGCATTAACACCATGTTTAGTGCCACCATTTCCAGCCCCCTGTGCAGATAATCTGCCACCCAACTTCAGCTTTACACTTTAAATGTTGGGACATGATTTAATTTGACCAGTTGTTGATAGCTAGGACTATGTCTTTTATATCCTTGAACAACTGAAAATCAATAATTTCTGTTGTGTGGGGGCTGGGAGAACATCCAAACTCATTATTTTGTGTCATAGAAACGATGCAATTCCTTAGCTGGAAAATAAAACATTAAATTATTTCTGAAAGTAGTCCCAGCCTTGGTTTGAGCACCAGACATGGCTAGGGATGTTTAGCCTGCAGATTCACAAGCAAAACATGCCCATCCCCTAGGAAATATGATAAAAATCATGCTATTGCATTGCCTTTTGCAGAACACCCAGCAGAGAACTTGGGATAGGCAGACATGAGGGATTTTGCTCTGTCTCTAAGGAAAGTCTAGCAGTTTGACGTATCTTCCTGGGAAATGAGCAAAAGGCTCATTCAAGCTTCAGATTTTTTGCATTCTTCCTTCCCAAGGAAGGAAATATTGCACTGGATAAAATTTGGCTAAAATGTCTGTCTCTGTTGGAAACAAACCAAATCGCATTATGGAAGGACCCATTGGTCAAGTGATTCCTTTCCCTGTGAAGCAATGTGGTCTTCATGGTAAGCCCCACAGAGAAACTGGGATTGCTCAGTGGAGGATTTTTCCTATCTTTTTTTTTTTCCCCATCTTTTTTTTTTTTTTCCCAGTCCAGCAATTAGCAAACTGGCATCTGGGTAGAAAAGGGATATGTTTGTTGAGAGAGAGAGGTTTTACTCTTGACTGATGCTCATGCATTTTTTTTTCCTCTTCATGGATCCTTTCTGTGTTCAGGATTGGTGCAAATCAATGACATTTCTTCTTTGTTTCAGTGGGTGATGTGCAGATTTCCTGCTACCACATACTGTGCAGCCTCTACTCCCTTGGGACAGGAAAGAACATTTATGTTGAAAGGTAATTAGTGAACGAAGAGGCTAACATTTTCAGGCGTAGCAAAATGTTACTTACAGTTTTTTAAACACTTAATGATATCATTTCAATGCAGCAAAACCACAATGCTCACTGTTATAGAGTGATGGTTTTGAGATTCTTACAGCAATATAAAGAAGTGCAATGATGAGGCTATTGAGATTTATGACTTCTGTGGAGATAGCTGGTGAATGTATGTGGCTGGAGAAGCAATATAGCCAAGCTAAATCGTGAGCTTGTAACCAAACTGTGTTGGAGATATGTCTGTTTCTTCAGAATCACAGCTTCTAAATAGCTTTCAGAGTGTCTGAGGTTAAAGTTTGCTGAGAAGCTCAAGGGACATGCGGCAGGTGCTTTAGTGTTTAATGAGTTTCTGTGTGCTACAACCCTGGACCTTTACCGGTCTTGGCTGTCAGATTTGCTATAGTTTTCAACAAGTGCACACTTTGGTATTAGCAATGCTAGTCAATCCTCTTGAGTCTAAGCAAGCTGATTGCAGAAGTGTGTGGGTTCCAGTTGGCCTCTCTAATCTGCCTGTCGCAGCAGAGGCCCTCGGTGACCCCTCGCTTTTCAGCATCGAATACTTTGTGTTCTGTTGTTCTGTTTAATCCATGGGGAAGATTGGAAGGATAAACAGTATTAACAAAACTCTGGATCTTACTCTTATCCTTGGAAGATTTTTGTTTTCTTTCTTGCCTTTTCAAACAAGCAAACTGGAAAGAATTGAATCTGTGCTTACAATTACTTAATCTAAAATCCTTCGGTATCTATTTTCCATGATGCTTTTATCAAACAAATCAGCGGTGAACCCTTGTCTCATGTCAAAACTTATATTTATTCAAATTGCAATGTCTCAATAAAGCCAAAAATGAAATAAAAGCCTTCAGCCCCTTCAAGAACTAAGGAACTACTGACTTGAAGTCATGTACTAGAAACCAAAAACTGTTGTAGAAATGTCTGTTTCTTCATAATCACGGCTTCTAAATAGCTTCCAGAATATAAGAAATTAGTTGAGGAACTAATGACTACATTTGTTTTTATTATGATTTTAAGTCTTTAACAGTTGTCAGGCTTTTCTTACTGTTTTACATAAAATATAGATAAATCTTTTATAATTTAGGATAGGAACTGGGCAGACAAAGTTTTATCCATATTTTATACCAAATCACAGAAAAATCAACAAAAAATTTTCTATTAATGCCAAATTCCACTTAAGGCAGATGTTTTTAGTTTATTTCTCCCACTGAGCATTTGTAAATACGTCCTCAGTGTCTTTCTCATTCTCTCGTTATATGTATACATTCACCCGTATGTCTGCATGGTTCTTTGTACAAGTTTTTATAAAGCTTATGCATTCATCTCTTGAAAAAAAAAGTCAAAAGTCAACTCTGATATGTCAGACCAGAAAAAGACTGCTTTTCATGTGACTTTCTCACCTTCATTCATGCATTCATTCCAGGTTGATTGTGTAGCTGCAGCAACGTGAAAATTCTGTCTGTGCTTCGTACTCCCGGTTGGTAGAAGTCAAGGCTTGGAGAAGTCCCTAGGTTAAGGCTGTCCCTATTGCTTTTTTCTGTATTTGTTTTTCCTAAATATTTTTTCCCCAAACTATGTTGCTCATCTGTTGGTTGGTTATTAGGTGCACTGCCAGTTCTCGAGAGTGGAGAGGATGTGTGTGCTTGTGTGTTTTAAAATGGAGGAGAATGAACAGGAAGAAACAGCAGGCAGCTTCACCTCTGAGAAGCTGGCTCAGGACTAACTCTTTCTCCCTAAATTAGCCGTGTGTTTAGCCCTAGCAATGTACCAACGCTCAGCCTCTGATGTTCTCCCCCAACTAACGTAAGCAACTGGCCCAGGTGAGAGGCTGATGAAACTCAGTGCATCCTAGAGTCATAGGACTTGTGTTTAGTGATTTAACGTAACTGTATCCCCTACTTAGAGAACTCAAGTCAGTGGCCACAAAATGGGCTACTTCTCTCACTCTTTCGCTTTACCTGACCTCCAGGGTTTCTCTAGGCTAGGAGTCCAGGTCATGAGAATGGCAGGATGGCAGGTATACTTCTCCCTACTCTGTTCCCATCTGCTACTCTGTAATATGCAACATGGCCCCACACGCATGCTGCCCGCCAGGTCTCCCGTGGCCTGCTCACACCCTTCATCCTCATTGTTTCAGGCAAAACCTTTTCTTTGGGCCCCCTTAAAACCCCTGTATTTACTTGCAAAGATTTCTATGTCCTCTTCCAGGTCTGGAAAGTGTGTTTCCATTTCGGTGTCCTTACTTGATTTGGTTCGTATTTTATGGGTTCAGAGTTATCGTACATTTTCCAGTTTTGGCATAGATCAAGATGTCTTCCTAGTTTCTTTTCCTCATTTCTTGTGGGTTTCACAGAGCAAAGTACAATGAACCCCCCATGTCTCTATCACCTTTTGCTGACATCTCCTAGACTGATGAACGTATGTAAGGGAATCACCACGTCCTTGCTTTCCAGCTCCACCTGGAGTATGCTTTGTCGGTAGAAATGATTCAGGACACCTTGGTGATAGGGTTGACTGTGAGGGGAAAACTCACTGAAACAGAGTACAGACATTTCTTTTGGAATATTTTCTAATTGAGAATGTCATTGACAAATGGAGTTTTCAGACACAGAATTTCAGAGAAGGATAATGGTTTGTGCATTTAATCTTGCAGAATACCTGCTTATTTAACTTGGAGACACTTTGATGAACTTAAAGAACATTTGATGGGGGTTATTCAAGAAAGCAAAGCTTGAAACTTGATAACATTAAACCCTGGGTCTCAGTTTGGCTTCAAATAAAGACTGAGTTTTCTACTTCATGCTTTAAAGCTATTTTGTTTCTTTCATCCTGCCTGGCTCCCTTTGACCAATTATTTCTGATCTGACATTGCACAATGTTCCCTAAACCTCTAAGGTCACCGACACTGCTGTCTAGACCCGTGTCCTGCCCTGTCCCCACTGTGCTTTCTGCTTCTCTGTTGCATGCTATTTCCTGTCTTTAGTACCCTCTGGAATATAAATGAAGGAACTTTCAAAATTGCAAAGCACCATTTACATGGAAGACATTATTACTTTGATGACTTTGTCTTTTCCTGTATCCCTAACAATAGATTTTGAGAGGCAAGATTCAGATCTATGGAAGCAAAATTGAGAGATTGAAAAGGAAAGTGTGACTTGTCAAATTAGGATGTAACAAAAACTGAAATACAAACTGAACACTGTCCAGTCTGTCACCCATTGACCAAGTATGTATTGTGTGAAAAATACCGTACGAGGCAGTAAGAACCGAGACCAGACGAGCCTGGGCAACCTGGAAAGACCCAGTGGCTACAAAAATTTTTTAAATCAGCCAGTCATGGTGGCACATGCTGTAGTCCTAGCTACTCAAGAGGCTGAGGTGAGAGAAGCGCGTGAGCCCAGGCTTTCAAGGCTGCCATAAGCTATGATAGCACCACTGCACTCCAGCCTGGGCTACCAGACAAGAACTTGTCTCTAAATAAAGAGAGTTTCCGTATCCAATGATAAACCCTTGCAATATATCCTCTGGCTATTATGGAGCTGTTTCTGTAGGCTTTTCTCTGCGGAAAGCTTGGCCCATACCAACACTCGCTGCTGGGGAGCACTGATGACCGGGGAGCCTTATATTAATAACAGCAAGTCTTTGCCTATCTCAGTCCCTCCTTGGGCTTTGGGGCCAAAGTCATCCACACTGATATTTCACAGCCGGGAGTATTAATTGGCAGACTTCTGGGTTTGACTTGTACAGACTTCTGGGTTTTACTTTTTTTATTTTTTCCTGGGTTTAACTTTTAACAGCTAGGCCAAGAGAGCTGTTGTTTATTTCTTCGCAAGAAGCTAATTAGCACCATTGTGCGCCCCAGACTAGAAAATGGCCTGTTGTGGAGCTTGTGGAGTGGTCAGGTTTGTCAGTAATGAATACGAGAGGGCAGGGCCAGTCCCCTGAGTCAACACAGCACCAGAGAACTGAGACTTAGCAACCGCCTTTTACCCCAAGGACTGCCTTCGTGTCTGACTAACCTTCTAGAAATCCACTTTCAGGAGATCGTGGTTTTAATTTTGATCAAAGAAAGAGGGAAAAAAAAAAGAGACAGAGAAGAATAATGGATCCATTCAGTACCAAGCCTCCTCAGGACCCGTTGTCTCCTAGGTTCATCTCCATGTAAAATTTGCTATCAGGCAGGGCACAGTGGCTCATGCCTATAATCCCAGCACTTTGGGAGGCAGAGGCGGGCGGATCACCTGAGGTCAGGAGTTTGAGACCAGCCTGACCAACATGGTGACACTTTGTCTCTACCAAAAATACAAAAATTAGTCGGGCGTGGTGGTGCGTGCCTGTAGTCCCAGCTACTCAGGAGGCTAGGGCAGGAGAATCGCTTAAACCCAGGAGGCAGAGTTTGCAGGTGAGCTGAGATCGCACCACTGTACTCCAGCCTGGGCAACACAGTAAGACTCTGTCTCAAAAAAAAGAAAAAAAAAAATCAGATTTGATATCTTACCCCTTGTTATTCCTGATTTTCACCCAGGTTTTCTTTCACCAGTGCTCTCCCTGTGGCCTTGTCCTTTCACAGTTTATCTCCTTATTTCTTCCTCCAACTCACAAAGCAAGACTGAAGGAGAAAACACCACATTTCTACTCATTGGCCACTGTGGTAAAGATGGTAAAACTCTTAGCTGAAAAAAATTGCCCCTCATGAATGCCTGTATTTGATGTGTAGAAGCACTCACTGTCCTCAGTTGTCACCAAAGGAATTGGCAACTCAGGTCTGAAGTTAAAATGATGCCCCTCTTCCCACGCCTGGCCACGCTTGGAGCTTAGTAAAGAAGAGAAATAATCGGGGAAGGGCAGGTGCTGAGAAGGAAAGGCGGGGGAAGAGGCCCGGCCTGGGGCCTGCTCAGAAGTGAAGCTGTCTTGTGAGAGCTTCCCCGAGAGCACCTGCGTCTCAGCCGTCTCCGTCTCTGCACAGCATTGATGCACAGGGCGCAGTAGGATTGGTTTGTCCAAGGGCTTCCACTCTCCCTCTGGAGAAGTCCTGGGTAGGGAGGTTGTAGCAGGCAAAGGACAAGACTGAGCCATCAGCTAAGAAGAGATTGCCTGACTGAGGACCTGTCAATCCAGTGTTGCTGACTGGGCCTGATTTTAAACTTATTGGCTCAAATGCTTCATAGCCAAGCAGGCTATCATCCAAGCCTAAGAAGAAGATAAAACATAAAACCACATATATTCACTTCCTCTTACAGTAATTTAAAAGATCACTTTTTAAAATATGTTTGGTAACTTGAATGAAGACTGGGTGGGTTTTCGAAGGAATACACAGCTTTCTGCCAACTCCCTCACCCTTCCCTCCTCCTCCTCTCTAGTTCAGCAGAGTTATCTTATATCTCAAGCAGGACACTTCTGTATACCCCCAGATTTGCCATCTGCAGATTCTATCATAGTCTTGTGTAGTCATTTTTTTCAAGACCAGTTAAGATCACCATTTTTCTTTTCTTTTCTTTTTTCTTTTTGAGATGGAGTCTCACCCTGTCACCCAGGCTGGAGTGCAGTGGTGCGATCTCGGCTCACTGCAACCTCCACCTCCCGGGTTCAAATGATTCTCCGGCCTCAGCCTCCTGAGTAGCTGGGATTACAGGCATCCACCACCATGCCCAGCTAATTTTTGTATTTTTAGTAGAGACAGGGTTTCACCATGTTGGCCAGGCTGGTCTCGAACTCCTGACCTCGTGATCCACCATTACAGATGTGAGCCACTGTACCCGGCCAAGATCATATTTTTAATCCAACTCAAGTATGTCTATTTCTCTGTTAGAGCAAAGCTGCAGGTTGACTCTAATCCTTAAGATTAGTCCATACAGATATGTTATTTGACCACATCGTTGATTTAGAGTTCAATATAGAACACAGGTTCTACATTTGCCCTGCATTTAATGAGAAAGAATCTGGAGGACAAAGGTTAAGGTTAAAACTATCTAGTTTACTTCTCAGTTAAAAAAAAAAAAAAAAAAGGCTCCCCTAACCTCCCCATAGTAAATACTTCTTATCCACTTTAAGACAATCTATGCTTTTGGCATTCTAGCTTCTTGGTGCTGCTGGAATTATTGGCTGTTGTCACAGTGAGAGGCAATTAACACATAGTCTTGGGCACAGGTCTCAGTGGGGAGCTGAAGGAAACCCACAAGAATTGGAAGCCCTTCTGCTTCCACAGAGTCACAGTAAGGTGGCAAGTGTTGGCTCTTGGCTCTAAGTGCCCTTTCTCAAGCTGGCGATTGTCGTGTGATGATCCTGTAACATTCCCTGAGGTGCAGCCCAGCACCCTCAGTTCCCAGGGATACTGCTCATGAGCTCATATGCACAGCATAGCTCATATGCACAGCATCAGTGCTTGACTTGAGCTGATCAGTCATAGAGGAAGGCATAGCGAGGGCTTGCATATGGTAAGCCCACCACCTAAGTCTTTTTCTTTCTTTTTTTTTTTGAGATGGAGTCTTGCTGTCTCGCCCAGGCTGGAGTGCAGTGGCGCAATCTCAACTCACTGCAAGCTCCGCCTCCCGGGTTCACACCATTCTCCGGCCTCAGCCTCCCGAGTAGCTGAGACTGCAGGCACCCACCACCACACCCGGCTAATTTTTTGTAGTTTTAGTAGAGACAGGGTTTCACCGTGTTAGCCAGGATGGTCTTGATCTCCTGACCTCATGATCCGCCTGCCTTTGCCTCCCAAAGTGCTGGGATTACAGGCATGAGCCACCAAGCCTGGCCCCACTTGATTGTTAATTATAGACCTGTTTGCATTTTCACCTATTATCTTTGTATCATGATCTAACAAAGGGCTCACATCATTGGTTTGTTTGAAAAAAGTCCCTCATATCTGGGAGCTGATATCACATGAAACTTGCAAGTCAGGTGCATAGTCTCTCTGTGATTAGATATGGGCGAGTGGCTGACAGATGTTGATGGGTGGGAAAGAGATGGCTCTGGTCTCTCATTCATTAGAAAGCAACAGCTGTCAGTCCCTGCACAGGGCCCTCCTAGCCAGCTCTATCACTGTGTTATCTCACTAGCAGTAGATAAGATTCAAACCCAAAGTTAAGCCCAGATCTGGGAGGAAGAAAATGTATTGCAGTTCTGACTCTGCTTTGACCAGCCAAAGGTTAGTTCCCATCCCTTGTGCTTACAGACTTGGTTACCCTGCAGGCAAGTGTAAGTACTCTCAGTTGGAGAACTTGGACTCTGAACAAAGAATCCCAAGCCTTTTGTTTTTGTTTGTTTGCTTGCTTCACAGAAAGACTTAAAAACCAGACCTTAAGATATGGTGGACAGTCAACTATTTGTACAAAAGAGGGACGGAAGTAACAGTTATTTGAGGTCTCTCCTGCAAATCAAGCAGTAGGTTTTAGGACCTATTGTTTCTGTTAAAAGGCAGGTCTTTTATTTTTGTGTCTCGTTGGTGCTTTGGTGTGTTACCTACTGTTCCCACTAGTGGACACCGGCTCCATCCATAGCAGAGAATAGACACAGGGAAATTACACAGATTTCAAAGCTTTTTTGAGAACAGGGGGGAATCCATCTCAATTTGAACAGCAGCAGAACTTGCTCTCACACATGCTGGGAGAGAGGGACAAAGCTGCACAGTGTATTATATCATCTTAACCAATTAAGAACTAGGATCTGGCCGGGCGCAGTGGCTCATGTCTGTAATCCCAGCACTTC